GGTGGTGGCATTAGGAAGGTTAAGAACCACTGGCCTATGTGGAGAACATGCTGAAGAATCCACTATGATGGGAAACATTTCATTCTTAAAAAAATAGAGGACGATTCTACCCTTCCTGTTATTGGTAGTTCTGAATGTTAGATTTTTGTTTTTGTTTTGTCCATTGGGGTCAAAAGATACCTAAGTATATGATTGCAAATGGAAAGGCCAGGAGACAAAAATTAGCATTTTTTCATTTTCATTTGTGTGTGAATTTTTTAATATAATGCGGGAACATAAAGCATTAATGCAAGCAAAAATGTTTCTGTGAGCATGTGTCAACAGTTTAGCTTTATAAATCAATCTGATAAATTTTTCTGGACAATGCCAGCATTTGGATTTTTTTAAAACAAGTACATTTCTTATTGATGGCAACTAAAGAGTTTCTGTAGCATTTTTATCATACAATAGATTCCATCCATTCACTATACTTTTCAAAGTTTGCCTTCATACAAGTACATGTTTTTAATGTTCTCTGTCTCCTGTGTTGTTCCTGTGAGTTTGCTATTAAAGTACGTTAAAATAAAAAATAAAAAAGGAATAAAAGTGGAAAATGAGAAGACAGAGAAAATGGGAGAACTGGCAGCTGCCTGACAGAGTACAACTACTTTGAACCCTTACAAGCAGTTTGATTAAGGAAGTGAGTTGATAATTGTCTGTATACACCCAGATCACACAAATACCCACACTAGTGGTTGATAACAAGATGCTGTGCCCCCCTTGTTCACCATACTCTCCTGGTGACTAGAAGCCACCAGGCCAACCTCCACCTTCGCCCAACTGGTAGTGAGTGATACCACCACCACTGGCCTCTTTGGGTGTCAGAGGGCACTGACCTGCCTAGTTGAACTGGATGAGCATTATGCACAGATGTTCTCATCCCTTCCCTGCTTTCTTCTTTCTTTTGTTTCACATATTCCCACCCCCTTCTGGTTTACATTTTTCTTTTTTTCTCTCTTTTCCTTTGTTTCTTTTTAATTTCTTCCCTTTTTTTTCTTATATTTTCCTTTTATATTCTCTTTTATTCTACCTCCCTAGTTTTGTGTGCTGTTGTTGTTTATTAGGGTTTTTTCTTTTTCTTTTACCTCCCCTTATTTTTTTCATTTTTATTCTTTATTTTCTTTTGTTGTTGCCCCACCACCACCACCACCACTTTTTTATTTGTTAGTTTGTTTGCTGTTGTTTGGTCTTATTCTCATCCCTGTCCTTCACTTCTGACTTTAGGAGAAAGAAACTATGCCCACACTTCCCAGCCACACATAACCTCCTGCAGCTCGTGGGTGTGGGTCACCACCTGCTGATGCACCACCTTATCAACAACAAAGAGAAAATTTAAGAAAGCCGTATAGTTATGCAGGATACCATGAAGAGGAGTAGCTTACACTTGATCAGAATTCCAAAACAGGAAGAGATCTCAAAGAAAGTAGAGAGAAAATTTTCCAAGGTTTATTGGAAGAAAACTTCACTACTATAGTGAAAGGCAGGAACATATGTATTTAAGAAGCTAAGCAAAACCCAATCAAAATAGACCCCAAAGGAAAATCACAAAGGTGTATTATAATTGCATTGTGGTGACTTAGTTAATGTGGCTTTTCTAGCCATAGTCTCTATACGTGCCAGCAAACAACCCTTTCCTGATCAGACTGGTTAAGAGAAGATGAGGGAAGAAACTGAGAGGATTCAGCTGTGAGTAACTGTTAACACAATCCACTGTGATTGGCATCCTCTAGGTGTAAAATGAACCATCTCAGAAATAGGAGGTGAAGATTGTACTACCAGCAAAAGAGAAAATCCAAGAGTGGGGGATATCCTCTGGACTCCACTATCCCTGCACAGTGAACCTCCTTGATCCAAGTAGACAGATTTGACTCTAGAGGAGTGACAAAGAAGCAACATCAAGTAAAACTGTGTGCTATGGTGCAGGAAACTGCTTGTGGAGTGGAGTGCCTCTGTGCACTTAATCTGAGAAGCTGAGTTTTATAATCCATGGAGCTGGAGCTGAGTGCCTTTGGACTGAGGCTTACTGGAGGGGAGAGAGGTGTCTTTAGGAACTTCATTTATGGAGTTGGGTTTGTTGATCCACCAGGGTCAACAAGCTGATACCTTCAGATTGAGGCTTACAACAGAGTGGCATACCTTTGGGGAATTTATTAGCAGCCCTGAAAAACTTTGTAACATATCTGGACTGAACAGTTCTATCCTGAACATTTCTCCCTGAATTGTAAACTGTTAGCTTCCATAATAAATTCCATAGCCCTGAGCATTCTCTGTGAGTTCTGTGGGGCATTTGTAATGAAGTGTAGAACTGTGTAATAAAGAAGAGAATGTCACATGAGACAGTGAAACACTCAAATTTTTAAAGTAAATAATCCTAAAAAACAGCTCAGGAAAAACAAATGTGACCTATAAAAATGACCAAAAACACTAAGCTTATTTCTTAGCAGAAGCCAGGCAGACAAGAAGGCAATTAAGACAGCATATATAAAACTGCAAGAGAGAGAGAGAGAGAGAATGTATGGATTGTGATAAGAGCTATATGAGCCCCCAATAAAATGATTTAAAAACAAATAAATATTTTCATTAAAAGAAAAAAGCCACAAAAGGAAATGACAAGGAATCCCACAAACAAAAAGAACAGTACAGAAAATTATGTTGAAACAAAATATGCTCCATATAAGCAAAGCACTTTTATTTATTTATTTATTGGGGCTTTTCTTAGAAAAAACACAGACAACGTGCTAGACAAATTCTAAAAGAGCTGTGACACAGCAAAGCACTATTAAAGAATAATAAATTAGGCCTCATACTTCCTGATCTCAAAACCTACTATACAGCCATGGTATTCAAAAACACCTGGTACTGATCCTGATGCATACATCAATAGAACAGAATCCAAAACCCCAAAAGAAATCCATCCACACATATAGCTGATTTTTGACAAAGGCCAGCACTTACTAAATGAGGACAAGGTAATCTAACAAATAATTTTGACAAAACTGGTTATCCATGTGCAGAAAAATGAAACTGGATTCATATCACCTTTCTACAAAAATAGCTTAATATGGATCAAAGGCTTAACTATAAAGCCTAAAACTACAAAGACAATCAATGAAAACTAGGGACAAACTTAAGGGCCCTAATATGTAGCATAATTGCACACTCAAACACAGCTAAAAACATATAAACATTAGAAAACAAACTAGATTACTGGAACACCCTAAAAATTATACAAATATTCACA